TGCATTAGAAAGTTGAAGAGTTTCCACTAAGCTGTCACGGGGAACCAGATAACATCTACTGGTTTTCTTCTGCAACACAAAGGGAGTACAGTTTTTCCTACCATTTTGAAACATGCCAAATTAAAAATTAATAGAATTTCCTTTTTTTTTCTTCTTTTTATTTTTTTTTCTTTTCAGAAGACTATTTCAAATGTTGATAGGTCCCTGCAAAATTCTTTCAAAAGTTAATAAACATCTTTAAGCTACATGTGGCATTGGCAGGAAGAAGTTAAACTACAGATGGCAAAACAGATCTCTTTATTTGCACATCCTTCTCTTCATCTGCAATGCTAAAGCAACCACAAAAAAAATGAAAATGCATTTCTGCCAAATCGATGTCAATTTAAAGTAGATTATTCCTTCTGGGTTTACACTATAATTTGATCCAGCTGATCAAAGATGAGTGCATTATTGTTTTCTATCTAGATCTGAGGTACAATCAGTGTATAAAATTAAAAAACCCAAAGGCTATCCAAGGTAAAACTAGAAAGGACCCATACTCCCATGGGCACTGCACTGGTGGCATGGGATTCTATCCAACATATATTAAAGAAGGATAAATTGGAGGACTGTGCTGTGTATTCTCAAACGATGGAACTCCATTCATGCTACTTGAGTCTTGGATTACAATTTATGCCTATTTATAATAACAATAGACTAAATAAATACAGACTTTACCAACTTATTCAGTGGTTTTTCTATTTTCTTCTTAGTCATGCTTTATTTTGCAAAACCCACAAACATCAATATGTCATTTATCCCAGAAACTGTCAGCTGTCTTCACAGTTTTCCATGACCACAATCCCATCTAAAGTGTATTTTCTGAGTTGAAACAGATAATTGCTGCCTCATTTTAATTCCAGTCCCATCTTAAAATACATTTCCACTAGTAAGTCAAGATTAGCTTTAATTATTAGAGAATACTAATGATCTTGTACTCCAATTTAGCAGTTATCTATGGACTTTTTTTTTCAACAAATGCTTCCTATCCTCCTCCAGGCATGCTTGTAATGGTGGCAAGCTATGTGGAATAGTGTTGTTAAAGAGGACAAAATGAGCTGGAGAAGGAACTTGAATAACTTTTTGAATTTTCTACTCCACATCTCTAACTTTCTATTAAATACAAAGGTGTACGTGCAGTTTTCCAGCTGGGGAAGTCTCACAGCCAATGGCACCTGGAATTATCTCTCTTGTATTATGCTGTTATATTTTCCTTCTAAAAATCTACTCACTGTTCTCAGGAGACAGGATATTAGGAATAGATACTATTTTAGTCCTACTAGAAAAGATATATTGAGACTTATAATTCATTTGAAGAGCAGCTTGAATCTCTGTGTAAAAGGTAATTAAATGGAGACTGGGTGCAGCCTGGCTGTCAGTGAGACCAGCATAGAAATTCTTTGTGGAGCTATTCCTCTTTTCTGGTTCTATATCTCCCTTTGGCTTTATATTCCCAATCAGCCTTACAACTTTGCAACTATCTCTGAGAAAGTTACAGATGAGTAAGAGCTGAGAAGAAGGAGAAGTCCTCACATCTCAAGCAAGGTGTGAATCCACGGTAAGCAACAGGTCTGCTGCCATGCAGGAATGGAGCATTCCCAGGCTTTTTCACTGAGCACAGCCTTCTGTTTCTCTCAGAACCCTGAAATGCAAGGGTTGGGAGCCAGGAATTGCACAGTGTCAGGAACACCTTCCTGGGGATGGCCCATTCAAGGAATGGATGGATGCTCCCCTTCTAACAGGAAAGACACATCCCAGCTCTCAGAAATCCTGCCTGTAAACAGGATGGTTTGTTATCCACCCAGGTGCTAAGAGCTGCCTCAGCCATGCCTTTTCCATGTCACTACAGGCCTTTATCTCTCTTGCTTTATGTCCCAGTTCTTCACATGGAAACACAGAGCTAATCCCAGTTCTCCAAACCTGGAGTGCTGCCATGAGGATCAAGGACATGGATGTTTGGCAGTCAGAGCATAACCAACCTTCAATCCCTGCCATGAACAATGCTTGTGCACAGACACCTCCACTCAGCTTTTCTGGAGGTTCTTCAGGAATTAACAGCAAGCTGCAAAATACTTACAAGAAGCATTAAGACTGGGGTTTTGCTGGTATTATTAGAGGCAGCTGGTTTATTTTAAGAATAACTGCATTAAACCACAGTTAGAGAAGTGAAGAGGTCACACTTAGCATCTCAGAGACATGGGCTGCACGTGGTGCCCATGGGGAGCATTTGGCTGGTCCATGTTCCATGTGTTCACTGATGCCTGGGCTGGAGGCATTTAAGGATAACAGGATGGAAGCACTGATTTACTTGCTGTTAAGCAACTCTCTTATAAATTGGAGTTTGGTTTCACTCACAGTGAGATACTTTCTTTGATTTTCTATTCCCAACAGATACAACTAGGGATAGTGCTTTAAGCAAAAATGCTGTCTCTGGTAAACATGGACCAGTTTCTAAGTGCATAGGAAGCTCTGGGTTTTGAAAATGCACTAGAGAACTTGCTATATTTATTCTGGAACATCACTGCTTTTTGTTTGTTAGTACAAAAAAATACTGAAATTAAAGCCACATGAATATTAAATGAAGTTTTAAATAATTTATTTTTAGTTTTGCCCTGCAGATGGCTTTACTTAAGGGTACTGCTAACAATCACTTAAAATATACATGCACACGTGAACTAAAAACTGATTTTATTTCTTAATTAATGAAAACTTATTAACAGAGTGAGAGCAGCACAAAGCTTTAAGTAACTTTTAGGTGCACTATAATCCTTCCATTTTGGCAGCTAAGTTCAGCTGCAAACCAGCTGAGGAACTAACTGCAGGCAAGCAGGAGCTGGTAAGAAACCATCATGATTTGAAGCCAGAAAAATGAATTCAGATTTTTTTTTTCAGGAATTCTATTTTTTGCAAAAAATGCATGCCACATTATGTGGTGCTACAAAAAACACCATTAGGATGACAGCTTTGAAACAACATACTGCACCTCTGCTTGTTAAAGACAGGAAGTAAAGAAATTATTCACTGTAAATATATTGATTGATTTCCTTTTCTTTTCCTAACAGTGAACTGTCCAAACACTGAAAAATTGAGTTAATCTAGTATTAAAAACTATGCACTAATTGTACAGGTATTATTTCTCCCTTAGAGTGATTTTTTTTGAAGAGTCTGTTTTTTTATACTCTCCAATGATGACTAATTGCATAATCATATGTCAACAATTCAGGTGTCAGACTGAAGACATGAATCAAAGCTCAAACTCAATTAAAAACAGCAAAAAAGTTAGCAATATGTATCCTATCCTCAGAGTGAGAATCTGGAAAGGCATATGCCAATACAGCTCAAACTTAACTGATAATTCAGGTAAAAATCTATTTGTCATTAAAGTTATACTAGATCTCATTGTACAAAAGGAGCATGAAGTCCCTGTGAGCACAGATGACACATGTTTAAAATAACATCCTCACTAGAAATGCTTTTCAGTTTGCTCAGTTGTACTTCAGCTGTATGAATTAATGGGAAATGAATGACTGAAATTTCATACACATCCATAGATGGCCCTTGACAGGAGCAAAAAACCATATAAAGTAAAAAAGTTTCAAACAGAAGGACTCACACTGCTATATAGCATACCAGTGTGTGCTGTCCTGTAAGAGGCAGGATAATCAGGCACAGTCCTAATTTGAGTGATAAAAATGAATATAGATTGGGCTAGACTGTAAAATACTGTAAATCAACACAGCAGCACTAACTTCAGAGTGGCAGAACCTGGCCATCCTGCTTAATTGACATTTTAAGCCTGAATGAGACCAGCAGATTCTCAGTATCTTGAATAATAATTAGACTGTATCCTATATATAATGCATAAAGAGACATACTTCTCATTCTAGTGATAAAATTTGGTATTTCTGGGAGAGTAGATGTAATGACAAAGAAGCAAATTAACAGCAAATCACTGTGGCTAATAAGGAAGTGTTGAGCCAAAATATTAATTCTCTCCACAGAGGGAAGACAAGCTAGACAGTAGGCAGCAGCAGAGCTGCAGAAGAATTGGCAATTAGACAAATGCTATGTGTACTATCTTTAAAGTACAAAGAAATGATTTGTCTTTGCCAGACTGTGAAGAAGGTAAGCTGACATAAATTAGAAGACATTAATGGATGTTAGTTTCATATTATTCACATTGGCAAGGTTCTCCATCATCTTCATGAAAATACAAGTATCAACTAGAAAAATGCACAGAAGTTTCACTCTGTTATCTACTCTTGCTCCTCTAGACCATTACTTCAAAGTCAACCCCTGCGGAAATGCCCAAATGCCAAACAAGTCAAGAACAGAGCACAGCTGACACTATTCACCCTGTTTCTAGTGCTCCAAACACACATAATGCCACTCCTCTCTCAGCTGTCTGCTCTGCAGTGTAGCTTGTTCACCTTCTCACCCATAAGAAACCACACACAAAAAGGCAGGCATTTATTTTGATAAAGTTCCACTGAGAATGTGCAGAGCAACTCAGTAGAAGGAAAAAATATTTTCTCAGCTTTATGCACCAGGGTGAGTATTTGTGATGAGCAAGACCTGGCATGGTAACTAAGGCTGTTGCACACTGCCCTGGAAGGCCACTCAACAGAAGGACCACACCACATCTTCAGCAACACAAATATTGCAGCACAGCAACATGGGACTGCTAAATGCTCTGTAAAGTCTCCCAAAGAGACGGCACACTGGTCAGGGACAGATGTAGAAGAATATCCTTGAAGATTTAAGAAACTTGACTGATGAGGTCCCTGAGCAGGACTTCCGACCTTAGGGGGATGTTTCTACACACAGGACAGTCAGTTGTTCTTGCAATGCCCACTAATTATTAAACCAGATTTCCCAACAGTGATGAATCATTTCAGCTGCTCTGGTTCAGAAAAGTAAGCAAACAACAGCCACAGGTCATTTCAATGGTGTTGAAGGATCAGAAAATGAAGATTGTGGAGTACAAAAGGGGAAGAATAGTGCTTGATAATTGCATGGAAATGTAAATGCTTTGTTACATGGAGGCAGCAAATGGCAGAAATTTAGAGAGACTGACTGCGGTATTTTGGTAAGTCAGAATACAAATGGAACTGCTTTTTATCCAGATGATCTGAGGTCTGTTTGTGCACTTTCAAACGTGCCTCCTGTCTGTACAGTGACACCATGGTAGATAAGATTGTGATGGTCTCTCCCATCCTTCAGTACACTTATGGCATTAGAGTTTGAGGCTTTTTTGTTTTGTTTTGATATTTTTTTAAATGAACAAGTTTGGATCCCAACATTGCTAGAGGTAAGAAATTATTTTACTGTTTATCAATTAATCATTGTTCTAGCAACTGGGAGCCTAGCCCTTTGGATTAACAGCCAAGCGGGAAGCTGGTTAGATATGGCAAGTGAGCAGATTTTTAAGTTGCCTTCTATGCTGAACTCCCATTTCAAGGCTCAAGCACACTTGCTACGCAATTCATCCAGCACTTACAGATCTAGCACCAACCTCTCACCTTCCACATGCACACAGGGCTTGGGAAAACAGCTTTGGTATGACGTGCAAATAAATCCTTGCATACTTGTACCATTGCTCATATAGGGGATTCATGAAAAATCTAATACCTTATCACAACTTGTATCAAAATGGAACATTTTTCAGATGTGAAATAGGAACAGACCCAGGCTGGAAATGGATTCAGTGATAACTGGTTTTGCTTGATGATTTTTATAGACAGCAAGCTCATGTGTAGTCTTCTAGGCATTCCACAGCTTTGCTGAGTGGTGATGAGGAAGATAAAGCAAACAATTTCCCTTTGTCTGAAAATGTGTAAATGAATGATTCAACTGCTATATCAGTTATGACTGCTAAATGGTTCTTAACTTCTATCAATGGCCTGATGAAAGGAATTAATGCTGACAATGATAAATTGCTTTCTCAGGCATTGAGACTTCATGACAAGGGAGGGTTTCTTTTGAGGTGAGAAGACACAGTATCAGTTGAATATTGTTCTTCATTACATGCTCTAGAGGCACCCAATGATTTGCTGAGCATTTAAGCAAATTGTGTTTTATCTCTTTGCCTCTCCACAGTGATGTGGATCACCTCTCTTTACTGAATGCACAGGCTATAGTAAGTTGCTCACCATCTCTCCTCTCTCACTTATCCTGTTACATTTGTCTCAGTAATCCACTACAGACCTCATGTAATCTGTCTCCAGGTTTTGAGCATTCCTTAATGTAAATATGCTTGCTCAAATACATCAGACCCAAAGGACATGCTTTAGGATGATGCATGTCACATTTAATGTACTTACCACATTAATCAGGCTTGTTTCCTTCACATCTGTATCAATTCCCCAAGAATGAGAAAACATGAATTTAATAGCTGTTTACTTGGTAGCCCAGTAAAAACAACCAGTTTAAGTAGTTTGCATAATGGTGGACAAAACCAAATGATTCGTTTGGCAGAGGAGGGTGTCCAGTATTCTTTTCTCTCATTGGAAACTTGGTACAAGCTTATTACAAGCAGAGGGACTGCTATTGTTTTCAGCAAACTTTGGAATAAGACATTAGATAATTTATATAACTAAGCACTAAGAGTATGTATATTAAATGGCACATTCAGAAATGAAATGTGAAACATAATTTCTCAGTTCCAGTGATCAGATCTAGATTTCAGAAAGCAACCAAGAGAAAAAAAAGAAAAAAAAGAAAAAAAAAAGAGAAAAAAAGACAGCACTGGAGCAAGGATCTATTGGTTAGAAATGGTTATCGGTATGGATACAGAAAGGCTCTGAATGGTAGTCTGGATTTGTGCTTGTCCACACAAGCAGTACCACACAAGCAGCGACCACTGGTTTCAAATGATGCAGGTGAACAAACATGAGGAGAAAGGTGAGAAAAGAAAATGGATCTATGTGTGGGAAAAACACACATAAGAACCAGGAAGAAAAGAGGAGCAGAAAAAAAATTATCTGGAGCACTACAAAAAATGTAGGTCCTTATCATAGAAAAGTCTGCTCATGAAGTGTGTTTTCTTATAATCACATATATAATTTCATAGTATGGCTACTGGGTGCTGAATAAAACAATATTAGAATACAAAAGCCAAGGTAGTATTTGATACGTCAATACAAATAATTGTAATGCTGACATTTCATTTTAAGTCAAACCCACCTCTATCTGCAAAATTACATGTTCTTTGCTATCAATATATCTGTAAAATTGCTATCAAGGAGCTGGGAGCTCATCTATAAAACTTGCTGTGAAGGACTTTCCTGGTTTCTACTGAAAATGGGCTTTGATCACTTTGCTGCATATAAAGCTTAAAGGAGGGGATTTTTAAAACACAATGCAACATATAAAATACTCACTATACCTTCTCTCTGGAACATGAAGTATCTAAGGGATTCAACCAAATGCTCCCTAAAGAAGACAAATCTCAAAAAAGTTTCTTAAAAAAATTTAAAAAAAAAGAAAAGAAAGTTTCTTCCTTTTTCTGACCAGATTGCCTTTAAATTACGCCGCAAAACCCTTCTGAAAGGTTGTTCTTGGAAAGCAGAAAAAATGATGATCAAACCTGCCATAAGGCAGATGATTATCAAGAACTTTAATGGATTTGAGCGCTGGGCTACAGCAGAGCTACAAAAGAATCCCTTGACCTCAGTGTGTGTTTTTGTTCTGGCACAAAGCACCAAAGTCTACAGTGCACTTTTAATGTTGCTTTAATAGTGTGCAAGCCCAACCCTCTACCTAGCTAGAGACTTTTCAAAACCCTTTTAAGTCTCTGAAGACATTTGCTTTGTATTATCTACAAGGTTCCCATTTAGCACTGGATGAATCCATTTAGAGCAACTGACCTGGACCTCTAATGAAAATTGGACAAATATTAGTTCCAAGTCCTTCTTCAAAGTTTCAAGAATTCTGGCTACATTTATCTTCATAATCTTTGCCCAGTTCTGAATTTTACTTGGAATTCTCCAAACAAACAACAGGGATCAATGCACAGTTAGGTAATTTGTTTCCAGGAACTGTGAATCTTTCTGCTGTGGATTCTAACCCCAGCCTGCCTCGGGGGTTTAACTCCCCACATAACTTCAGTAAAAGTGCCTTGTGCTTCCAGTGGAGAAGGCAGTACCAATAACAACCAGATGGATTTTGGATTGCTACAACCTGTTAATTCCTGATAACTCCTGTTATTGAGTATTTGCTCTCTAGAGAACCCACAAGAAACTTCAGGTCTATTCAAATTGTTAAAATCTATTTTATTTTACCAGTGATGTTATTTTGATTTAAAAAAATCTACTTGCAGTGCTGCCCCTGATATCCAAACTCAACAGGCTTTTATTATACAATGAATCTGGCCTTTTAGCTCAATCAGTGACATATTAAATATAACATTTGAAACCTGAAACTTTCCAGTTCAATAAAACAATTCCTTCAGATGAACTGCCCATGCTTCCACTGAATTTCAGACCAGAGGAGTTTGATTCACTTATGTTGCTAAGGATGGAATGCCTGCTGGAAACCCACAATGGTAAATAAACACATTGAAATATCTGTGACAAAAAAGAAACCCTCTTTCTTTTTACTGCAACCTGAGCGTAAATTTAAGAACAGACTTGAAACTTTCTCAGACACTTCTCATCAGCCTATATAAGCTGAGGCTGTGCTCTGTGAGAAGCTTGAGTATATCATTAACAAAAAGCTTATTCCATGCTGACTAGCTCTTCCAGCAAAATTTCACCTATTTGGTGAAACAGAAATGGAAACTGGACCCAGAAAAATTATTATCATGCAACTTTCAAACTGGGGTTTGATAAATCACCAAAGTGCTGCTGTCTGAGAAAATGGCACATTCAGTCTTTCCCTTCAGCCTCAGCAGAGGTTCATAACAACACTGAAGAATGATATGATTAATTACAACTAAATTTCCTGTTCATTACAGATACATTCCCAAAAAGAAAACAGCCTGTTAATTTTTGTATACTCAAAAATACTGTTGCTGCATACCCTAGTATTCCCATGTGAAGCCGCCTGCAAGAATGAATACTTCAGTAATTAGCATTTGTTTGCTTGTGCCATGGATTTTTGACTTTTCCCTTGAAGCTGTTTATCAATGAAAATTCTGAATGCATTTTAATTAATACAATCACACTTTTCCAGGAATAGCTGCTAATTTGAAGCAGTAGTTGAAATATGAAATATTGAACTTTTTAACAAATGCTTTGTTCCTCTCAAGATGTCTAATTATTACATTCTGTCTGCAAAGGTGTCATCTCTAACTGTCTTGTAAGTTTTTGGGTCATTGTGACAATGGGGAAATTCAGGACAAAAAATGACACTTCTACTCCCTTGGGGGGAACAGAATTATTTTTCTTTGTAAAATGAAGGTGCTTTTTTTTAAATGTTTACATGGGGCCAATACTGTCAGGAGCTTGACACATCATCTGTGCTTTCAATAAAGGAATTTTATTTATAGGAACACTCGGAGACCCTGCTGTACCTGTCTGAGCTGGGGTCTGCCATGACATGAAGTCAACCTTTTCATGATGTCCTTTCCTCTTAGGTACTTTAGCATTTTCCACTTCCTCCCTCTTTCAAAACACAACTGCTTTATTGCAAAGGGGTTGAGGGAAGAGCTGAGGATGACTGGGCTTCAAAGGGATACTCAGGGGTCCTCAGGTCTGCTGTCTGTGGGGGTGGCAGCCCTGGCAGCACCTCTGCTTCCTCACTGACACCACAGCAAAGGCATCAGGGCTCTAACACATTTTTAAAAACTTTCAAAATAGTTTAAATATACTTTGAAGAACAATGTAGCACAGTATAATGACTGCTTCATATGGAAATGATCGTGTGTACCTGAGATATGAGTATATGAGGAGGGAAATTGCATATAACTGGGCACTCTTTCCTTCCTTCAACTGAGCAAATCTGAAGAGCCAGCAAAACACTTCAATTGGTTTAGATCAGCAACTGACAATTAAAAACCTAGCAACTGGTATTTTTCACATTTTTTGATTCATACCCAGAAGTATCTCACTGTTAGAACGTGATGAACCAGAATTGTCTCTCATGACA